ATCTGGGAACTGGATGAGTCTGTTCCAGCACAGACATGACTGGTACCAAGCTCCTTCCAACTGCAGGGGTCAGGCTGTTTGTGTGCCTTAACCTTCAGTGTTTCAGGGTCTGCAGCCAGAAGTGAGAAGAACCCATCCTATCTCAGGAGTGCAATGTGCAAGGGAGCTGAATAAAAGTCCTCAGCAAGATTGCATCTGTCTAGTAACCATTTTAAGCTCATTTTATATAAACTTGGTGAAAATAACATATTACTACCATTGAATGGTGCAGAGAGCTCATTACACAATTGAGACTCAGTTTCACTGAGCAACAGCAGAAACTGAGACAGAAGCAGAACAGTTTTAGCAGTTTATTGTAAAGACCTTTACAATCTCAGTACAGAGATAAGGATATAAAATGATGTTGTTTGGGATAATTAAGGCTGGTTGGTGGTCATCCAAATTTCACTGTTCAATGGAACTCAAGCAAGAGCAACTGATTTCTGACTGTACATATTTTTATTTGTGTTCCATCGTTACAGTGAGATCACGAGTTATTTCAAAGACTCAATGCCTGTTTATTATAAAATAAAGGACATTATTTACATGATGAAAGAAAAATTTCAGCTTTTTAGTGGAATGGATGACTGATACTGCAACAGGTTTAGTCCACATATTTCCCAAGAATGTCACCATCTCTAAACAAGTAGTAGTCCTGTAAAGAAAAGAAACATTAGCTTCAGTCATGTAAATATTTTTCTTGTTTTGCAAATACTGTCTTGTTCTGAATCAGCATTATTGCAGTCATTAAGTACAAAATCAAAAGCAAGCTAACCAAGAAATCAACATGTAGAGCTAGTCTTGAAAAAAGTTCTTTTTGTTCCTAAGATACTCCTTGGAAGATATTAAGTTACTACTTCTAGCAGTGGGAAAGCACAAGAACTGCTAGAAAACAATTCTGCAGGCTGTCCCTGCCAAAAACAAGGATGCCCCCAGGAACTCCTAAGCCTTTTTGGATTCCCTCTAATATGCACTTGATGTGTGGAACATTTTGCCCACCCAGCAAAGGTCAGGTCAGAGGTTCCTGTGGTTGCTTCCCTTTATGCAGAGGCAGAAACAGCAGTAGCACAGCTGTCAGAGGCTGGATCCAGCTGCTCCCCTTCTTGAATGGTGCCAACAGCCCAAAGTACCCACACTATTTATCACTGGTGTTTCAGGAACCACTCTGATTTGCACTCACAAAGCTGGGAAACCTACCTTATCTTCCAGTACGATCTTAGTACCACCATATTCTGGAAGCAAAACCTTTTCACCAACTTTTACACTCACTGGCTGAATCTCGCCGTTCTGAAAAAAGAAAAAAATCCTTACTTTTCTCTAATAGAACTCCTCCAAACTACAACAGTCCATCCATGCACAGAAACATTCAGGAAATCACAACTCTGCATTTAGTTTTGACTGTAAAGACAAGTGTGAGGTCTTTGCTTGACACACTGAATAGGACTTCACTTAAGGACAATGAAACCCCCTTGTAAAATCAAGGCACAAAGTCCATCTCCATATTCTATAACCAAGGATAATTTCTCTAAGTGCCAGTTTCAAAAGTACCTTCCCATTTCTGTAACTTTAACCAACTTGTCACTGTTGCCATCAATTCACTTATTTAGAAACACCTGATAGAGTTTAATGAAATTTTTGTATTACAAGCAAAACATTAACACATTAGTCAAATATTATCACCCTTTCACAACATAAGCCATTAAAAGTCAGATCCTGACACAAACCAGCCTGGGATGCAGAGAGGGACTCATGGTAAAGAAAGGCCAAGGCATTGTGCCCAGGTTGAAATTTAACCTGCTTCCCAGAGCTGCTACTGACTGGACACTGCTCTGGTGGGGAACCAGCCCTTCTGCTGTGGAAGCCCCCAGGCACTGGCCTTGGTGTGAACTGTCTTATTTCCATATACATATCCAATGTGCAAAATTAACAAGCACTTATTCATCACTTATTTGATTGCTGACTTTCTTTAATCCAATAAGCCTAATCCTTATGGGCAATGATATTTTGCACAGCACAAGGCAGCCAATAAATAGGCATCTTATATTTTGAGGAACCCCCACATTCTGGGGTTCCACCCTGCTCACAAGTCACAGACATGTGAGCATGTAATAATTTTAACAAAGAAGTCTGCTGGTCCCTCAAGGTTTTGGCTGAGATGTGATGAAACAGGGTATCACACAAAACACTGTCTACATGTTTAAAATAAACTAACACCACCAACAGCAAACAAAAGAAACCCCACTCCATTTTACAAATGATTAAAGGAATGCTGGAATTTATTTCAGGACAACTTGAGATTTCCACCTGCTTTCTGAATCCCTACTTGCAATTTCAGCCATCACAGTCATCCATTTTTGTGAGCCATCACCACTTCTGCACTATAAGCATCCCACTCTTATGGCAATATTCCAGCTACCACCACCCCATTCATTACTGGTTCTACCCAACGGGAATGCTTTGGGGAATTACCTTTCCTCTGCCTCCAGATCCAACTGCTACTACTGTTGCTTGTAGTACCTTCCCTTGGGATTTTTCTGGTATCATGATTCCTCCTTTGGTTACTGTCTCTGCTGCACATCGCTCAACCAGTACACGATCAAAGAGGGGAAGAAATTTCCTAAATGCTTTTCCTGCCTGTGGAAGCAATTGTACATTGTAACAAGAGAGCCATTACAACAAAAACTGCAATTAAAAGGAGTTTTAAAACCCCAACACATAATGGTTTATTTTGAGAGAGATGAATAGTGTAAGACAATTGCAAGGCACTTATTTAATAGCAGCAAATACGAGCTCTGATTGCATCAGAAACTCCTGAGGGCACAGGCAGATGCTGGGCAATCCTGACAATTCAGCTGCAGGAAGATGTACTCCAGCTGGGGAATAAAGCACCCACGGATGAGCAAACTCTGCCTGGAAAGGCCTCTAGGCTTTTAACAGCACCCCTTAGTTGCTATGGCTTGGTGAACACAATTATCGATGATTATATGAACTGCATTTCTCCAGTTCACAACCAGATCTAATGAAGATTAAGGACTCCCTGGGAGAGCTGCACCTGTACTTGTGAACAGGTTTACATCAAAGAAGCACAGGTCTAGCCAAGTGCCCCACTATCAGTCTTTCTTAGGTGCTTTCAAGCATTACCATTTCACAAAAAAAAAATAGTGAGAACCTGCAACCTGAGCCACAGTGCTAGTACTTACACCAACTTCTACAGAGTCAGAAAAAATTACAAGAAAGTTTAAGTCAAGGCCCTGAAAATGAGCAGATAGGCACCCTTCTAGCTCAACTGCTTTAGTATTTTCTTCTGCTTAACCAGTCAAGGTGAAGGGTTTTTATTAAGTTGTTGGGTTTTTCCCTCACAATTGGTTTAGGTTTGGAGTTTTTTTGCAACTACTTTCTGCTATCTCTGCATTTCAGAACCAGCAGTCTAACTGCCATAGGCCAGATAAATGCAGGCAAATGCACTTATCCCAACGCACGGGGGTCAGGAAGAAGGAACCTGCTTTGATTTAGAAGGAGAGATATGGCAGGTTGCCAAGTCACATGGAGATAGAGCTCCAGTGGACAGGTACAGAGCCCACGCTCAGAGAAAGAGCTGGAAGGGCCTGGCATCCGTGTGCCCTTTGCGGGCACTCATCGGCACCCACACACACTTGAGCAGCAGCAGAACCCAAAGTCACGGGCAGAGCACTTGGAAGATGCTGTATTTGACTGCTGCCAGCAGCACAGGGATGGAAGATAACCAAGAGAAAAGGCTGCCAGTTCTGTACGATTCCATTCTGGGAGATAATATTGCTGACCCTCCTTTTTAAGAGCTGTTCTACGTTTATCAGAAATAAAGCTGCCAAACTTATGACCATCAATATTTTACACTAAGTTTTAATTCTTCACGATATTATTATCCTAAGAATCAAGTATCACTGCGAGAACAAGGGCAACTCAGTGAAACTCTCTTTCTTCTCTATAAAAAAATTTACAAAACTTATAGAAAAGAGAGCTCCGGAGCGTAGCACAGGTTTCTTGCCTATCTCCGCAGAGACCCGCCGTGGCCTGCGCGGCCCTGCCCTGCAGCGCTGCTGTCACGGGGCCGCTCCCGTTACTGCGGCGGGAGGAACCCTGAGCTCCGGTGAGCGCGCAGCCAAAAGCAGCCCCGGCAAACCGCCCGCCACGCCCGGCCCGCAGCCCCCGCGCCTGCAGGGGAGTCGCCTCTGCCCCGCGGACTACGTGACCTTGCGGCGCCGCCACCCCCTGCCTCCATCTTCTCCCGTCCCCCCGCGACCCAGCGCTGCCCGCGGGCACGGCAGGGACCGAGCACACCCGTGCGCGGCCGCTCGGGGCCCGGCAGCGACCCAAGCGCGGAGAGGAGCAGGGGCGCCGCCATGCCGTGCGGGCTGTGTGTCCCCGCGGCGGCGGGCACGCGGGTCGGGGCAGCGCTGGGGAGATGGCGGCGGCCCCGGCACTCACCATGATGCTCCCGCGCCGCCCGCACCGAGTGACCGCGCCGCCGCCAGCACACACGTGAGGAAGGTCACGGCGTGCGCATGCGCGATCGGCGCCCCACCCCGGGGCGGAGCAGCCCCGACCCCCTCCCCCGGCCCCGGGGACGTGCAGCGCCGCCGTTTTTTTTCAACTTCTGCGGCGCTATCCCAGTCCCGGGAACGGCTGCGCCCCGGCGGCACCGCGGACCCGCCGCACAGCTCCCGCGGCGCCCCAGGCTGGGCCCCGCACGGAAGTGAGGTCAGCTCACCTCTGACCCGCGGCGGGCATAAGCGTTCCAGAAGGTTCTGGAATCGCCGGGCCCCGGAACATGAATGGTTCATGCTACAAGCCCTTGGCGCATGCGCACTTGTAGACCTCGGCGCAGCGCGGCAGGCGGGCTGTGGGCGGGCGCGGAGGCCATGCTGGTTCCGGGGCCGGGCGGCCGGAGCCGCACATGGGCCGGCGGCGGCGCGGGGGCGGAGCCGAGGCGGTGAGTGCCGAGCGCCGCCCGCCGCCGCCGCGCCAGACGTGCCCGCGAGTCCGCAGAGCCGCGGTGCTGCTCCCGTGCTGCCGCAGGTGAGCGGGAACGCGGCCGGGCCGCTGGGCCCGCGCCGCTCTGCCCGGCCTGGGGAGGGCGTGGGGAGGGCGTGGGGGCCCTCACCCCTTTGGCCGCGGTTACCGCGCGCTGGGAGCGGCCGGGCCCGAGCGGCGGGAGCGGGGGGCGGCCGTGATGCAGGCGGTGCGCCCGGGTGGCGGGAGCGGGGCCTGCACCTCCCTGCGGGCCGCTGGTGGCGCGGCGGGCCGGGCGGGCGGCGGCGGGGGGCGGGCGGCGCTGACCTTGCTGCGCGTGTCCTGCTGCAGCGCCATGTGCCCGCGGGGCCCTGCTCGGCGCGGGGGCTCCGGCGGGCCCGCGGTGGCGGCCGCGGCCTTGTCTCTCTTCTCTGTGCCCTTGGTGGCCTAGCGGGGTGGGAGCCGTACCCGAGCTCCCCTCGGCACGGCCCCGCTGCTGCAGCCGCGGGCGGGCGGGCGCGGCCCCCGCGCTGAGCACATGGAGCCGCGGGCGCTCCGCCGTGCCCTCGCCGTGTCCTGCCCCGCTCCGGGCGGGAGGCGCTCGGCCGTGCTGCAGGCCGCAGGGAGGAGCTGCTCTGCGCGGCTCTCGGCGGCAGGATCGGGGACACCCGGCCCGGTACTTGCTCAACTGACTGTGTGTCTCCATTTCAACCGGTCGAAAAATTAAAGATTCGTCCTGCCTGCTTTATTTCCTATATCTGTTCCCGCTGTTTTCCCGTAGAAGTAGCTGTGCAAAATCATAATGCCTTTTTTTTATGTTTTTCTCTACGTTTCTTTTAATATTTTAGACATGCTCCGTTTACCTACAGTACTCCGTCAGATAAGACCAGTGTCCAGAGCCCTCGCCCCCCATCTAACACGAGCCTATGCAAAAGATGTGAAGTTCGGAGCAGACGCGAGAGCTCTGATGCTACAAGGAGTAGATCTTTTAGCAGATGCTGTAGCTGTCACCATGGGGCCAAAGGTAATGGAAGACTCGGCCTTTATGTTAGCACAGACCTGGCTGAAAATACTGTAACAGAGCAGTTGTTGGGTTTCTCTCGGTGGAGCTGCACGATTGTATTTGCAGAACTGCAACGCAAAGGGGTTGGGGAATGGACAGGCTCCTGCCAGCAGCTGTAGTCTCATGTCCACCAAAAGCGGGACAGTAGTGCATGTGCTTTTTGTAGTAACAAAGTAAAATTGCTTGGGTTCCTGTGAAAGGTACGTTATATTCGTCTAAACAGTTTGAAGGTTAAGGAGATGCGCATAATGTGTTACCAGCTCAGTTGATAACCTGTAACAGTGCAGTAAATAATGTAACTGTCTGTGTCTTGGGGTTGGTTAATTAGCATGTGGGTGGCTTGGTTGGATTTTTTATGATACTTGTTTTGTTTGTTAATTTTTTTTACGAATTACAATTTTGTATTAATTTATCTTTTAAATATTAACAAGCTTTAAAAAATATCCAAAGTGTAATGTTGAGTTCTCAGTTGGCTGGTGAATATTACCAGCCTAAATGAAATTTCGTGGTAGAGGCATTCATTTGTGTTACCCTGTATTCTGTCCTGTAAGGGAGATCTGGGTCTCTTGGAAAACCAGCTATGGTATTCTGCATAGTCATGCAATGTGCAGTAGGGCTTGAAATGAGATTCCTCTTTTTGAGGAACAGACACTGATTTTCTTGGGGCTTATGTGAATATCTGCTCCCTGTAACAGCATGTGTGTGATAGTTCTTCTGAGGGCTGCTTGGTCTCTGTAACATCATTTCATGTATTTTCTGCACATTTTTAGTGCTCTACCAGCTTCATTCAAAGGCAGAAATGCCATAAAGGTTAAGGAACATTTGTGTCAGGAAACTCTGGCTACTTCCACAAAGGAACAAAGTTTAAGTGTAGTTGGTTAATTTAACTCCTGTTTTTTTGGATCAGGCTGCTTTGTGAATGCTGAAGCACAGTTCTAATCCACTGGCTAAAGGGCAGTTGCTGATGCAACTTCATGCAACCTTAGGGGATTTTTGTTGGTTGTGCTGTGCTTCATGTAAAAATGGAGGGATTACTGCAGTGCCTGAGTCAGCCTCTGGCATTTTTAAGAAACATCAGTATGGTGGGGAAACCTCCTTTGGGCCTTTTTAGGAGCCCAGTTTGCAGTCTCACACAATCTTGTGGTATTGGTTCAGCAAGTTGAACAGAACTGGTTTGTGTGGGGGCTCAGCTTCCCAATACGCCAGACCATTCTAAATGCCTGTGCAGTTACTGGTGGTGTTTGTTCCCTTCTTCAGGAGCACGGGTGTTTTTGCTGAGAACAAGCCCCTTCATGTGATTTGTTATCTGTGGGTTTTGCTGTGCCCCTCTTCTCAGAGCTGCAAACCAAACACTAGGAATAAGACCATATCAAAGTACAAAAGAGAATTAAGCAAACTAGGAGACATTATATGAAAAACGTACTGGTAGCATGCTCCTCCAGGGAGGAGTTTTCTTACTCTTGATTTACCTTTATATTTAGAGGTGCAGGTCAAATAAGATAGGAGTAGGGAATGTATTTTGGCACAACTGTTCCATGGCACAGAGGGAAATTTCCATAAGCCATTCCCCAGGTTCAGCCTGAGGAACTGAAGCAGAACCTTGAGGCTGCTGGGGTGGCTGTGGCTGAGGAGCAGCGAGGCCTCGTGCCTGGCAGGCAGCCAGGGCCGGTTCAGCCACGGAGGCAGCTGTGGGTGGGCTCTGAGCAGGGAGGGCACAGGGCGCCACAGCCCTGCACGGAATCCTTGCCCGGCTCCCCTGGCGCGGGATCCCCCCGGGGCCGGCAGAGCTGGGGCTGGAGCTGGACCTGACACACCGAGGGAGAGACCTGGGCCAGTGCTGAGCTGGGCACTCGCTCTGCCTTCCCTCTCCAGCAGCTCCAGCTCTCAGCACACTACAAGAGTTTCAGGGCAGCAGGAGACCAGAGGTGGCTCCTTCCTTGAGTTTCTGCTGTCTCCAGCTCAGACTGGAGCGTGTTTGTTTGGGGCAGGTATTGGCTGTTGGAGTCACCTGTGAACAAGCAATGGCCTTGTGCAGGATTTGCCTTGTGGTCCCTGTATGGTTCACAGTTGCCCATGTTAGCTGTGTCCATTAGTTACAATACTCCAGCTTTTCAGTTGGATCCTAGTGTGAGCTGAGATGAGGAAAGCTTGGTAACTTGCAGTGTTTGAGAAATTACTGTAACACATGAATACAAATTTGAAGTAGTCTCAGTTGTCTTTGCTAATGACTATTGAGGTTTGCAAGTCTGCTTTTTTTCCTTCAGCACATGCAACAAATTGAGCTTTGTATTATTTCTTTTTCAATCACAAAGAATGTTTATTGTGATCTGATGAAAATTTTGAAAATTTCTTCGAATTGCTATATTTTTAACTTTGGGCTAAAATATTAGCATTGGAGGGAATCTCTTCAGTTTTTTCTCTAAGGTCAGTGTTACTTAATTGCAGACTTCAGCAGTATGGCTGAAGAATGGAGTCATTCTGTGGAACTATAAAGCCTTTGAGCCATTTTTCTGGTTTTGGAGAACCTTGATATTAAAGTGTGTGTTTGAGAAGTCCCAGCTGAACGCCCTGTGTAAGGTGGTCAGCTGTGACTGTTCAAAATTCTCAGTTGAGCTCTTGATGGTAACCTGCTTTGGATTGGCTTGGATTTAAAGTTTGGTTTTTGTCCCCCTAGGGAAGAACAGTTATTATTGAACAAAGCTGGGGAAGTCCCAAAGTGACAAAAGATGGTGTGACAGTAGCAAAGGCAATTGACCTGAAAGACAAATACAAAAACATCGGCGCCAAGTTAGTCCAAGACGTTGCCAACAATACCAACGAGGAGGCAGGAGATGGAACCACTACTGCAACAGTCCTGGCACGAGCCATTGCCAAGGAGGGCTTTGACAAGATCAGCAAAGGAGCCAACCCCGTAGAAATCAGGAGGGGTAACTTCTTCCTGTTTTTAATGTTTGATCACTGTCTTTTGTTTTTCATATCCTAAATTTGACTTGGTTTCTGTTTGAAGAGCCACCATAAAGGGTTATGTGATCTTTAGAGAACACAGTGGACACTGCAGACTCTGAACAGCCGTTAATTTGTCTGATACTTGTACTGGTTTATATGCAGTCAACTTTTTTAGTTTATTGTAAGTGAACTCTAGTTAAAGCCATTTCTGCATTTAATTAATACAATAGCCATGTAAACAAATGTATTAGCAATTTCAATCTTGACAATATTTCGCACCAATTTCAAAAAACCCAGCACTGTATATACAAATGACAGTATGGAACAAGAGCTATTTGGTTTTGAATATGCACACAATGGATTTTTGCAGTGTGGATTTTTGCTAGAAAGCAGATGTGTTCATTGTGGTGGGTGGGTGCTTGCTTTGTGTTTTCTGTGCTTTGTACCTTGCTTTATCCACTCACAAGTGCCCTGTTCATCCTCAGGGGTGATGCTGGCAGTGGATGCCATCACAGCTGAACTGAAGAAGCTGTCAAAACCTGTTACAACTCCAGAAGAAATTGCACAGGTAAGAAAAAACACAATAAAATATAACCCAAATTTAGGCAGCTGTTTCTCAGAAGTTGTTTTGTGAAGTTAGGTTTGATGAAGTTAGGTTGTGTGCATCTTGACACTGGGTACTTTTCTTTATACATCAGAAATAGTCTTAAATTGCACTGCTAGAAGTGAGTTCACAAGTGGGCAGATTTTTTCATCTTCGAGTTTCATTCCAAAGTATGGTCTTAAAACATAAATGTGTGTACTTGGGAAGAATTGATGGGAGCAAAGCTCTGTTGTGAATGGAAGTAATGGCGGGGTACTGAGGGTGTGGTGGATCTGCTGGGTCCAGGTGTGTTGGTGGTCCTGGGTTATTTGTGCCTGTGCCTGGAGGTGGCCTGGGTGTGAGTCCAGGCAGGGAGTCTGGCTCTGCTGCAGCTGCCCAAGGGCCTGAGCCCTCGTGCTGTGAGGGTGCTGCACTCTGCTGCCCTGCCTTGGCAGAAATGTCAGTGTTGCACATGGTTGTTTTGATTTTTCATATAATGAGGAAGCACCTTGCACTGGGAAATGAGATTAAATGTCTTATTCTTTCAGGTTGCCACAATATCAGCAAATGGAGATCAGGAAATTGGCAATATAATCTCTGATGCAATGAAAAAGGTTGGACGAAAGGGTGTGATCACTGTCAAGGTAAGAACTGGCCAAGTGACTGTCTCTGCTCCTGTTAGGGCTGGCTTCTGTCATGTGTGATGCTGCTGCTGCAGCTCCCATTCCATAATTCCCACCATAATTCCTCCCCAGCTCCTTTAGATCAGAGTTTGATCACTGTTCCCTCTTACATTCTTCCTGTTCTGGAGAGAAGCACATGAAACTGATGTGGGGTCCAGAGCCTTTCAATCTATTGTGCATGATATGCTAAAGCTGTACTTGTGCTTTTGCAGCAAACCAGAGATTTTAATGCAGACTTTCTTGCATTTAACAGGATGGAAAAACTCTAAATGATGAACTGGAAATTATTGAGGGTATGAAATTCGACAGAGGCTACATCTCTCCGTATTTTATTAACACAACTAAAGGTGAGTTACAGTAAGTTATGTCAAACACCTCCAGTGGTTTGTGTCAGTCAGAAATAATGGCACCAGTTAAAGGCTTTACAGTCCCTTATGCTGTGCACCACAACAAACAGAGCAGGGGCTTCTTGCCCATCAGAAACTTGAACTTGCCAAAAGCGTGGAGTGTCAGGGTTTCCTTTTCCTTCTCTGCAAAGTGTTCCTGTGAATATCAGGCTGGCCTTGCAACAGCAGAACAATGGAGATTTGAGAGTGGAGTCTTGGAGAAAACAAGTTGTCTTTTTCTTAATGCAGTTGGAAAGTGCAACCATTGCACCAAAGCACCTGCTTAAGTTAAGTTAAAAGAATGCTTGATATGTTTTTGTAATGGAACTGTTCAGATAATGCATGTTGTTTCTGCAGGGCAGAAATGTGAATTCCAGGACGCTTATGTTTTAATCAGTGAAAAGAAAATCTCTAGTGTACAGTCCATAGTTCCTGCTCTTGAAATTGCCAATGCCAACCGTAAACCTTTGGTCATCATTGCTGAAGATGTTGATGGAGAAGCCCTCAGCACTCTAGTCTTGAACAGGTGAGACTTAAAATCCATTTTTTTCTATGGTGTAAGGCTCGTTCTTCTCTTACCTGTGCCAAAGAAACAGCAGCTTTTAACCCCACCGTGCTTTGTATCGACTCAGGCAGAACTCCAGTTGTGTGCTAACTACCTTTTTGAGAAAAACCACCTCAGTTTGTGATGGTCTCTTTGTTTGCTTGACTGCTAGAGCTGCACTGAAATAATTTGGCGTACTAATTAGACTCATTCTCTGAATTTTTGTCTTTAGACTGAAGGTTGGCCTTCAGGTTGTTGCTGTAAAAGCACCAGGTTTTGGCGATAACAGGAAAAACCAACTTAAGGACATGGCGATTGCTACTGGTGGTGCTGTAAGTAATGATGTTTTCAGTGGCTTTTTGCTCCAAGGGGTGTTAATGCTTTTCAAGGAGGAAAATACTGTGCATTTTTAGATCTTTGGCTTGTATTTGCTGGGTTGCAGGCTGTATTCTGTTCTTTCAAAAATGTAACAGTAACTGATGTTCGAAACTTGCTGTGTTTTAAAATGCAGACACTGATAATTGCTGTGTAATGCAGTCCTGGCCAACTATATGTCCTTGTAACTGACTGAGGTCACATGAGATCTCCTTGCAGGATTTAGGTTTTCAAGGGAAAGGAGGAACTCCAAGGCAATTGTTGCCTCCATAAACAATTGCCTGGACTCAGATGTGGCAAATAGAATTATTTTAAATGTTTGGAATTGACTGAATGATTTTTCTTACTACTAAATTTTGCATATAGTTGATGCACTGATTAATGTCCCTTTATGCTGCCCTTTTTTAATATGCACTTCAAAATCGTAACATGATATTGGGACCCAGAGGAGGCTGTTGAAATAAAACTTCATGTTTAAGGTAATGGCAGCACAAAGTAACCAACCAGCAAACTGTTCTTCAGTCAGTGACATGTCAAAATCTGCAACTCCTCAAAATACAAGGAGATGATGGTGACAGGACTGAAGGAAGCACCATGAAACTGTCAGGGGAGGTTTAGGTTGGGTATCAGGAAGAGGCTCTTCACCCAGAGGGTGGAACTGCAGCAGTGTGGTTATTCTGCACCATTAGCCTGCTGTATGTGTTCGTGTACTTGTAGATAAAAATATCTGATGTGTGAGGTACCTGTGGATTGCAGCTTTTCACATAATTTCTTTCAGGTGTTTGGAGAAGAGGGTTTGAACCTAAATGTGGAAGATATTCAGCCTCATGACTTTGGTAAAGTTGGAGAGGTCATTGTGACAAAAGATGACACCATGCTCCTCAAGGGGAAGGGTGAAAAGGGTCAGATTGAAAAACGCATTCAAGAAATAATTGAACAGCTGGAGGTTACCACCAGTGAATATGAAAAAGAGAAACTGAACGAGCGACTCGCCAAGCTCTCTGATGGAGTAGCAGTATTGAAGGTATGAAGAACTTGGTAAAATCATGATGAACTAAAGCTCAGGCTTCTTGATTGCTGAGGTACAGAAGAAGACTTGCAGGTGTAGGAGAGGGTGGGTTGGCTTTCTGGCACTTGTTAGGCATTGGCAGCTTAATCAGGTGGCAGCAGTGCTGTCCCAGCTGGGCTCCTCCTGCAGCCCTTGATGTGTGGCCTGCTGCTGTGCTCGCAGGTGGGCGGAACCAGCGATGTTGAGGTGAACGAGAAGAAGGACAGGGTCACCGACGCCCTGAACGCCACCCGTGCGGCCGTGGAGGAGGGCATCGTCCCAGGGGGTGGCTGTGCCCTGCTGCGCTGCATCCCAGCCTTAGATGCCTTAACTCCAGCCAACGAGGATCAGAAAATTGGTAAGCACATGACTTGGAGATGGGTGTGGAAGTGATACAAGCACGCTTTCCCCTGTCCTGAGGCTTCATCAGGTGGCTTTTAGTGAGTTTTTAGTTACTTGATCTTAGCAACATCACGTTTCTTTGGTGTGCTGGTCTCTGCTTTTGAATGGGAAGGAGCTTTTTCACTGCATTGCTGACTGGACTGTGTAAGACCCAGTAGCAGTATCCCAGCACAGAGTGGCAGTTGTTTAGAGTTGGGAGTTGGCTGTTAAAGTCTTTGCAGACAGACAAAATCTAATGCTTGAGACTGTGAGGCAAATCAAATGGAAAAAGGCTTTGTGTCATGTTGCACATAGAGAGTAATAATACTTCTTACTATTTTTTGTAGAATTAAAACTAAAATGTGCACAAATATCCTGCAGAGATTGCATTTGTTGGCAAGTGTCAAGTAGCAGGGAACTTCTCCTCCTGGAACTGACAAACATAGCTTATGTTCTTGCTCGGAGAGTTTTCTCTTTGTATTGATCTCCAGCACTAGGGCATTCCTTGGCAGTGGGAGTGGTGTTTGTACAAGGAGCTCCAGCTATCTGTTTCTTGCAGGCATTGAAATAATCAAGAGAACACTGAGAATCCCAGCAATGACTATCGCAAAGAATGCCGGTGTTGAAGGATCATTGATAGTTGAAAAAATCCTGCAGAGCCCCTCAGAAGTTGGCTACGATGCAATGCTTGGGGACTTTGTAAATATGGTAGAAAAAGGAATCATAGACCCAACTAAGGTAACCTAAAGCTCTTAATTGTCAGCTTTGCTTCCTCCCACCTCCTGTGATGGTCAGCGGGTTTTAAGTAGTTTCTTGCTTATTTTTAGGTTGTGAGAACTGCTCTGATGGATGCCGCGGGTGTTGCATCTCTCCTATCAACAGCAGAGGCAGTGGTGACTGAAGTTCCTAAAGAAGAAAAGGAGCCAGCAATGGGAGGAATGGGTGGGATGGGCGGAGGAATGGGAGGTGGCATGTTCTAATTCCTGACGTAGGGATGCATCATGAGCTGTGCTGTTGAAGACTGACAGTTCTGACTTCAAAAACTTGAGCTATCAGTGTGAGAGGATGGATAGTGACTGAAGTGAGGCTGGTGTTGAAAAGAATCACTGTAACCATCAGTTACCGGATTTCATTTAACACACGTGTAATTGTTTACAGTCATTGTCCATGCCTACAGATAATTTATTTTGTATTTTTTGAATAAAGACATTTGTACATTCCTGATAACTGGGTTGCAAGATCCATCTACCAAGGTCCTGATTTGAACTTAATTAAGGCACTTGATATTCTATTTCAGAATTTCTTGGTGCTTGCCAGTACTAGAAAGAACTTGGAAGCCACTGTGCGTGAGACTAGACAATTGTGTACAAAGTAGGCAAATAGAGTTATGTGACCTTTATGTAATAAACTGCTCAAAAGTTACAAAATGTATCACCTTCTTCATCTGCACACCAAGCCATAGTTATGGGAGAGCCTGGACAGCCTGCTGTTGCTTCTAAGATGTAGTAGAAATTGACACTTATGCTTGAAAAAATGACAGGGCATTTCACTCCGAGAAACATTCCTTTGTCTAGAATGTTTCTCAGAAATGCAAGTGCTTTAATTTTGGTAAGAAATATCTAAGCTGAACTGCACTACAGTTCTTTGAAATATTAAACAATGCTCTGAAAACAAGGCACGTGCACTGACTTTATTTTGCCCTGTCTATCTGGTTGTTTCACGTGCTGGAACAGGCCCAGTGCACATTTCACAGTCCCAGGGGAAGAGAAGTGCCCTGAGGTATCAAACAGGTGAGTCTTTGCTAAGAAAGGGTTCTGGGGTTTTTAGATCCTTCCTTTGCTCAGGTGTAATATGTGATTACCTCCTCACCTTGAGCCTTCCATTCTTACCTTCCTCCTTTCTAGTAAGGGGTGCAGGATTTAGTGATTTTGCACTAGAAATGTTGCTTTGCCTCTTTGTGTTCTTTGCCCTGGCACCACCACTAACAATGTGCAGTCTTTTCTGCTTTCCAGCCTGCAGAACAATGGTGTTTCCAAACTTGTGTATGTTTATACCTGATTACCTCAATCAAAACTGCTTTACAACTTCTCAGTTCTGTACAAATGACCTTCATCCACCTGTTGCTTTCCTCAGCTTCCTGCCCTTAATAAGAACTATCCTTCCACAGATGGGATGTGTGACGTTCTAATTTTAAGTAAAATTATCTGAAACTCTTTCAGGGGTGTCTGTATTTTGAAACATACCTTTCTATGTTATTTAATATGCTGTTCTTCATTAACCATATGGATTACATGTGCTGCAGAGAAAGGACCAGCTTCAGCACCTGGCCTGAAGCTTCATCTAATATCAGTAAGAAAATTTGGTAATGCAAGGCAGCATAAAGTAAGGATTTAGAATCTGTTCAAACCTATTCCCTTGGTTTTTTCAGAGACTGGGAAGAGAACATTCAGGAGTAGAAGTACTGAACATGTATGTAATCAGGATGATGTTATCACAGTGGGAGTATGGTACTGAAAAACCTCAAAGAATGAAGGTTTAGTGCTTTCTTACATGATGTATGATGACAGCTGGCCTGGGCTGTTCTTGTCTGCAAGGAAGCACAGGGCCTCCTGTTACCTGGTTCCAGGAGGACAGCACAGGTACCTGGTTCTCAGAGGTAAACCTTGCTTTGAAGTGTTCTGTTTGCATCAGGTGAGATGGAGGTAACCAAAGTGCAGCGTGTACCAGGGAAGGAGCGGGAGCAACTTCACCTTGCCAACTGTACTACAAACTCCAGAAGACAGGTGCACTGGGCACCACTGGCTGTAGCTGAGACTGCTGCACTCAGACTACAGTGCTCCTTATGCATTTCATCCCTGAAAACAAGGGCAGTTAGAAAGCAGTTGCTGGTCACTCTAGGGCCAATGGGAGAGCCCTGACTTACCTCTGCCACTCATTTGAATTCAAAGCACCACTCCTCAGTGGCTGCCAAGCTGTGCCATTCTCTGGGAAGCCAGTGTGTTAGTTGTCTCTGCTTGGGCAGAGCTGGCCGAGTTGATGCTCTGAAGTTACATTCCCAGCAAGCTGAGTTAATAAGTTACAGCACTGAAAAACGGCAGGAGCTTGGCTAGGGCAGAGCTGGGGCTGTGATTCCAGGAGCCCTTGGCTAGGGCAGAGCTGGGGCTGTGATTCCAGGAGCCGTTTGGCGTTAACGGCAGCAGAGATAGCCTGGGTTACAGCAGCTGCCAGGTGCCTGGTACTGATAAGGCTTTAAGCTGCACTTGATTGCAGCTTTTGAACATTCTATGTCTGTCTGAGCAGGTGTGCTGGGCACAGGGTAAGATCACACCCAAGCTCAGATAAGAAATGAATGCCCCAAAGGAGGAGCAGGGCACTTTGTACAAGTGAAGTGTACAGACAAGTTTATAGCTGGGGTTGTTACAGTTTCCCTTTACGTCTGATGAACTTCATGCAGCATCAGCTCCTGAGGAATGCTGGTTTCTGGGCCGTGGAGTTTGGATGCTCTTCTTTCAAAGGCAGCAACCATCTGCTTTACAACTTCATCAAAAAATAGTGTAGCAAGTTTTGAGTGTAGAAGTGAACGAAATTCAAAAGAAATCTGTTTAAGAAAATAAAGATAATTATTTTTCTTATATATACTGTTGTAAAATGCTGTTACAAATAGACAACTCTAATAGAGAATTTCCAGTGAAGGCTGCAGGTAAGTTGTAGAACAGTTAAAACTGGGGAATAGGTGAATGTGGCTGAGAAGGAAACCCTTGTTCCTTGGTCTAAGGACTGTACTTCTGGGCTTTTCCATTAAAAGAATCCTCTCATCCAGTTCTCTGAAGTAGTCATTTATATTTACCTAAAATGTCTTTTCTTTTATAAATGGTTCATTACAAAAGAGGTTTGGGGTAATGAAAAACTACTGACAAACAATAACTTATTTTGTGCACAGAATTCACTTGAGGGACAAAAGCTGTCTGAAGAAAGTCCTGTGTGGCAAGACAACAGACTAACAGGTAAGCTGGAGCATGCCCAAGAAACTTAAAAGCAACTTGAAATAGTTACCTGTTAAATGCCAGTATTTTAAATCAGTCTTTCCTTTTGGTGGCAGTAGTTCTGGTAGGTTCAAACAAGCAGTTTAATGACTAAAATTACAGATTTGTTTGTGTGTCATAGCTCCCACTCCTGACCTGACACCAGCAGTCAGTGAAATGGATTGGGAGTTAGTTAATTTTTGTTATTCCTGAAATGTCAGATTTAATGCCACAAGGAGCAAATACAGCTTCTCCCCAACTCCTTATGGGCAATGCATATAACTGCAAAGCAGTAGCACAGAAGTAATTAAACAGCTTGGCCCATAAGCCAAGTGTAGCTTCATTTACATTTGTTTGACCTCAAGCATCAATAAAATTAACGTGCCTCTTGCAAGTCTGAGAGCTGTCATTGAGGGCATGCAGAGTTCTGCACAGTGGGGATGTGGAGTCTGGCATTGTGTTCAGCAATTATGTCAATCTTAAGGAATGGATACATTAATGAAGTTTGCAGGTGGTAAAAAGGGTGGTGTGCTTCAGTCTATGAACCAAATCATTTCAGAGCTGAAACCAAAGTAGGAAAAGTTCCCTGCTGTATGTGGATGTCTCCTGGAATCAGGCTGGCAAAACAGGATTCAGCAGCTTGTGGGAACCAGCATAGCTCAAAACTCAAATAACGTTTTCTAAAGCAAATAAGCATTCTTGAAGTTTTCTCTGGAATATCTGTAATTGCAGGGCCTGTTTTGAGGAGTTTGTTTGGAAATGTTTATCATCCCTGCCTGCACGTGCCCAGAGGCAAGGAGCAGCAGGGCAGGCACTGGCAGAGGTTCAGCTCAGCCAACTGCACTGCCTTCCTTTGCTGCCTCCAAACAGGGTAAGCAGTAAGATGTGTTGAGAGTGTTCCCCCAAGAAAATGAAAATGTCCATGTCCAGTTCTGTTTTTCTTCCATTTAACTGAAGTTCTTGACCTGAAATGTCAAAATGTGGCTTTGGTTTGTGGAGGTGTGGTACTGTTTTCTCACAGAGCCTGTATGTAGATTGTAGGCTTTAAATAGCTGTTTAATTAAAGTTTTTTAACTGATTTATGGCTTGGGTTAAAAGATAGCTTATATGTGTTAGTAGAAAGAACTGACACTTCTTTGCCTAAAGAAATACAAATAACATGAGCACATAACATGCAAACCATTAAAAATTGTGGTTCTTTGAGCACCTGTAGATTAATTTTTACTGTTGAACTGCATGAACTGCAATACAGTAATAAGCTGAAAGTTAATAACCCAAGGAGGTTAATGTGCTAGTTTAAAAATATTCCAAAAGCTTTTTCTTATTCACTGAAGATAATTTTCAAAGCAGGGTATTCCAGCAGATGGCAGCAGGATTAGCCCAGCTCTGTGTACTTTAGCAGCCTGTTCCAGCCAGCTCAATGCTTTGTTACACACTTTGTTATAAAATGCAAGAAAAAATGTGATGGCAGACAAACCAGAGAACATGGAAAAGCAGTAACTGGAATGGAAACAGCTTTTCTGGGAGTGAAATCAGGCTAAATCAGGTACTGGATTTAAAGAGCAATGCTTTTGGGCTGCAGTGATATCCCATCACAGATTAGAGACAGCAAAAATCTATTACACTGTGTTAGAGAAGGAAGGAGTAGGGCTTAAAATACGTGAAAGAGTAAAACTGAAAGACAGGAAATTAAACTGACCACACTGCAGCCCAAACAGGACAGATGGCAGGACAATGACTTTCTGGTACCATTTAGGTTGCAGAGTGATTAAATAATATAGCAAAGTATATCTAGCATTTCTCCTGCACTGGACTGTGTAAAAACTTCAATGTGTTTAGAACTGCAGGGTGAGAGGTGCCTGTCCCAGACTGTTTCAGGACACAGGGACACCTCACAGAAGGCTGCTGCTTCTGAACAACACTGAAGTGGTTTCCAACAGTAAAGTTTGCAAAATATTTTTGGACAGAACTGACTAAAGCCAACTTGTTTTCTGTGTCTAAGTGTTTAAAGAAGTAGTAGAGGCATTTTAAAAAGTGCCCAGAGTTGAAGATAAGTGTTTCTATGTGCTGCTCCTAGCATGTGGCACTTTAATTACCATACTTACTGAAAAATCCAATGTACATGTCCTTGGATAGCCAGGGATACCAGGGCTCAAACGCCACACTGTTTCCAAGTGATTAAAGAGTTTCCCATCTGTGCATGATGCCTAAAATAAAGGTTTGAAAATCAAGCTACAATTAGGCTTTTACAAATGTGACAAACAGGTATTACTGAAGCTTGTGTTTACATTTTGTTAAATAGTGATGGTTGTGGCATAGTTAAACCTGTTCTTACAGCACAGCCAGCATGAAATCCAATATGCAAAGATGGCAGTTATGGCAAAGTAACTGAGGTCCTTCCAAGGCAGAGGAAAATGCTGTGTCTGAGTGTCATAACACAGATCTGTGGCATGATGCACAGAACATCCAAATACATAAACTCAACTAGTTTGGAATTTGTAGAGAAAATTTCTGTAACTTTTTTTTGGGTAATTTTTGTACAAGTTCCCATTGTTAGCCCAAGGAGCTCTGCTCCAAGAGACTGCCCCCAGGGAATAGGTGTTGTTTGGCTTGGAGACTGTGCTGAGGTGACTCATCTCAGAATAATCACCAGCACAAAAACACCGACATTGCTCTTTCCAGGAATGAGATAATGCATGGCCTTGCTACTTCTATATCAGAAAGGGAAGGAGTAGAGGGAAGATTAGATACAATGAGCTGGGCCTGCTGTTCCCTACTGCTATCAAAACAGCAGGAAAAATGGGAAAAGTGCCACTGTGTTCCCCTTTCTCCCAGTCCTAAAGTAGCAAACTCACTCCATGCTTTCCCCCTCAGCAAAACTGCTGTTACCAATCTGATTTTTCCATTGTTTAAGCCCTAAAAAGGGGAAAACCTTAAGCAACAAACCCATTCCCATCTTGTGCCTGAGCAGCACACAAGGTTCCTTTGCCTGGAGTTATTTGAGAGGACAGTGAAATGGTCCAAGCACACAATCACTTCCCTCGAAATGTTCCTGCACTTCTGTGGACATCATGTAAACCTCTAGGAAAAGTAATTGCAGCAGAGAAAAGGCTAATGAGCCTCAGGGGAGGCAATCTGAAGAAATGGCTTTCCTCACCACTTTTGTGAGTCTTTTTTCTGAGACAAGAATTCT